CCCTCCCTGGGCTGAACTGGGGATCAGGAGCCCTTCCTGGGCTTAACGGGGAATCAGAAGCCCTTCCTGGGCTTAACGGGGAATCAGAAGCCCTCCATGGGCTTAACGGGGAATCAGGAGCCCTCCCTGGGCTGAACTGGGGATCAGGAGCCCTCCCTGGGCTGAACTGGGGATCAGGAGCCCTCCCTGGGCTGAACTGGGGATCAGGAGCCCTCCCTGGGCTGAACTGGGGATCAGGGTAGCGCTTACGTGGAGCTGGCACTGGAGGATGCTCTGGAGGAGCAGGCACAGCAAAGCGCTTTCGAGGAGCTGGCACTGGAGTGAGTTTTGGGGCTCTGGGGGGCGCTCTAGAGACGAAGGAGGGCTGGACGGGACCAGCGGAGGTCGATGGAGACGATGGAGAGCTGGACGGAACCAGCAGAGACGAAGGAGACAATGGAGACGACGGAAAGCTTTCTAGAGCGGATTCTGGGGTCACATGAACGCTTGGAAGGGCTTGCCATATTAATGTTCAGAGGGCTTGCCATATTATAGTCCGGCGGGCTTGCCACATTAACGTCTGAAGGGCTTGCCACATTAACGTCCGGCGGGCTTGCCTGAGGAACGGCCGGCTTACTTGACTCAGGAACTCCCAGACACCGGATGACTGCCTCCTTCCAGCCGAGGTTGGTGGTGTCTGGGAGCTCCGTGGGACGATAGTAGGTTATCCCGATCCGGAACAGGGTCACAAGGGTTTCCTCATAACTGACAGGTTTGCCTGAGCCACGGCGATGAATAACGCTCGTTCCTCCATTTGAACGGGGAGAAATGAACAGGGGAAAAAACGAAAAACTATAAAAAAAAAGAAAAACAAACATGGGTAGAAGGGGCGCCGCTTACTGTCACTTTCAGTCCAGAATTCTGTCACGGGTCGAAAATGTAAGGAGCACGGAGCGAGGAACGAGGAGACCAGGAGTACAAAACAAAGGGGTTTAATATTCTCTTCAGGGAATCACACGTAGCACAAGGAGGGGACATAAACAATTCCGGACCCAAATTCATACAACGAGGACAGGAAGGACCAAATAAGGAAAACAGGAACTAAACGGGAACATACACGTGACAATATGTTGTACACGTTTGACAGCACTAATAAAAATAAAATATGACTATAGAAAATATTGAAAAAATAAAAGGTAATTAAAACTAATAATTAAACTAGTAATTAAAAATGTACACTCAAAACAACCAGCATTTTTTAGAGTGTAATATAATAATAATAATAATAATGGTTGTAACAGAATTGTGATGCCTGTGATGCCTTAACTAAGTTTTGGTTTTTATTTTCTTTATCTAAAGATTTGAGATTCATCTCCCATAGAATAATAAAGTTTTATAAACTCATCAAATTCCTGTAAAAATACTTTAATTTCAGGTAAGTACAGAACTGCAAACATATTTGCTTTTTCTCTTTTAACAATCCATTACCAACCTTCCACTGTTTCTCTTTCTGTTGAGTTCTCTGTGATGTCATTGTCTTCTGCTTTGGGATAAAACCCATAGGTATGCTGTGACTCATCCGCTCCTACTCAAACCTGCTGCCAAAGCATTTCCTGCAATCTCAGTCCAAACAGAGCACGCATCTGTCAAACGGCCTGCGCCAAATCATAGTATGCTCGCTATGTGCACATACCTCCCTCCTAACCATAATTGACGAAATATACTAATGAGGAAGCATTTGGAAGAAAAACAAACATGGGTAGAAGGGGCGCCGCTTACTGTCACTTTCAGTCCAGAATTCTGTCACGGGTCGAAAATGTAAGGAGCACGGAGCGAGGAACGAGGAGACCAGGAGTACAAAACAAAGGGGTTTAATATTCTCTTCAGGGAATCACACGTAGCACAAGGAGGGGACATAAACAATTCCGGACCCAAATTCATACAACGAGGACAGGAAGGACCAAATAAGGAAAACAGGAACTAAACGGGAACATACACGTGACAATATGTTGTACACGTTTGACAGCACTAATAAAAATAAAATATGACTATAGAAAATATTGAAAAAATAAAAGGTAATTAAAACTAATAATTAAACTAGTAATTAAAAATGTACACTCAAAACAACCAGCATTTTTTAGAGTGTAATATAATAATAATAATAATAATGGTTGTAACAGAATTGTGATGCCTGTGATGCCTTAACTAAGTTTTGGTTTTTATTTTCTTTATCTAAAGATTTGAGATTCATCTCCCATAGAATAATAAAGTTTTATAAACTCATCAAATTCCTGTAAAAATACTTTAATTTCAGGTAAGTACAGAACTGCAAACATATTTGCTTTTTCTCTTTTAACAATCCATTACCAACCTTCCACTGTTTCTCTTTCTGTTGAGTTCTCTGTGATGTCATTGTCTTCTGCTTTGGGATAAAACCCATAGGTATGCTGTGACTCATCCGCTCCTACTCAAACCTGCTGCCAAAGCATTTCCTGCAATCTCAGTCCAAACAGAGCACGCATCTGTCAAACGGCCTGCGCCAAATCATAGTATGCTCGCTATGTGCACATACCTCCCTCCTAACCATAATTGACGAAATATACTAATGAGGAAGCATTTGGAAAAGATACAAAAATCTCAGCGTACACAGAGAAGCAGAAATTGGTTTTGAAGGCGAGCAGGAGTAAATACGAGCCATCTTCCCAATCTACCCACCCCCCTTTTCTCATATGTAAATGTTTGCCAATAACAGTTTATTTTGGGTGTAGAGTCTCGTGAATTATAGATGACCATATGGGCTTGAATGGCTGACACTGCCTGCTGAAACACTGAAGGGATGAGCGAGACCGGACAGATGTCTCTAATTGAAACGGCTTTCCTCATCTCCCATAAAGTGTCAAAATTAATCAAGGGATGCATGGCCAATTTTGTTTGTGGGTTAATTTTTTTCTTGGCTCAGTTTGTAAGACATCGCTCCAATTTAGGGTGCTTAAACATGCATTCACATAATGAAATGCTTCACAAAACAACGTCCTCCTTTGGCTGGTCGACTTGAGACTTTTCAGTCACTTAAAAACCCATTAACCAAGTCCAGATGCAATGCATTTGGTTATATTAAATGTAGCCACAAGTTAAAGCTATTTATTTTTATATATTTTTTGAGTTTTTGCACTGCTCTTCTAGTCAACATAAGAATGTTTAGGTGTCTTTAAGCAGTCATCTAACAATTAAAGGAATGTTGTGCTAAATGCTAAAAATTACTGTAGTCACAGTTACAAGCAAAGCAACACCCTAGGGACCTGGTGTTTAATAAAGCAGACATCTCCTTTATCTCCATTTTTCACAAAAATGATCCTTTGTACTGATGAAGAGTGTTGGGCAAGTTACTCTGAAAATGTAATCAAATTACTGATTACTCCTTTTAAAAGTAATCACATTACTATTCTGATTACTTTATTTCAAAAGTAATTCGTAATTAGTTACATTACTAGTTATGTTACTTTTTTCTCCATGAAATTTATGAAATCCCAGCATACACGCTCCCGATAAATATTTGTTATTAAAGCATCAACATTCACAGAACAGTTATTTTTAACTAAGCAAGCGGCTGCTGCGTGCATGGTTTGGCATGGCAGAATGCCAGCAAAGAGCGCTGCATTTATAATCTCTAAAATACATCTCAGTTCATCGCAATCTCACAAATCTCTGTTATAACACAATAAATATATGCATAATGAATCTTTCATAATGTCTACAATTCGTGTGTTATAATGAGAGGATTCATGAGCACGCAAATTTCAGCAATGCATTGCTCTCAACGCTGCAAACACGTGTTATAGCCTAAATAGAAACTCTGCATATGCTTGCACCTGTTAATCGTTTATATTTTATATTAGTTCATGTTGCTTTTGACACACACGAGTCTCTGCACTCGCCTATCAAGTCTTGTCCCTTACCACACTCTGTTGCGTCGGGTCTCGCGGGAGCAGGTCTCTAATCCACTGGCACTTGACTCGACAGTGCGTGAGCTTCATCCTTTTTACAATCTCTAGATTATAAAACACTGCATTCTGTCAGCAATGTAACGTGGCAGTAACGTATAGAGACCTCGGCTTGTAACTATACTTTAATTACTATTTTGATCATTATAACGCGTTAAATTACTCCGTTACTAAAAAAGTAATCAAATTACAGTAACGCGTTACTAAGTAATGCGTTACTAAGTAATGAGTTACTGCCCAACACTGCTCATGAACAGCCTTATGGACAGTTTTCATTAGCAATCTGTATAATTCATCATAATACCCGCTGGCTGTGAGCGACTGGCAGGCTATTTCATTTGGCCCAATGTTTCATCTCATTTTAAGAGCACCGTGACAGAGAAAACTAAATCTTGTAGAAGAAATATAATGTCAACAACCAGATATCATTTAATGGCGCTATATTAGCAAAATAATTACCCAAGTCTATCACGGTACTACTCTGGCAATACCATCATATTTTGACGTCTTCAAAATTATTCTATGAAATACCTTGGTGTACCATGTACACATGATATTTTCATGGTATATGAACATGGTGAAACAGGATAACGTTAAACATCTTGGATGCCCTGGGGGTAAGCAGATAAACATCAAATTTTCATTCTTGGGTGAACTATCCCTTTAAATGTACCAATGTAGTAACATGGTAGTTTTTGGTACTTTTTTGAATGAAGTGGTTCAGTACTGTGAAAGTCTCTGGATTTTGGATGTGGTCTTACCTTAAAGTAACTTTAAATACTTCCATACTTACTTTTTAAGCATAATGAAAAATACAGCCATCGGTGCGGTTGAGGAGTGAGGTGCAGTTATCAAGGTGAAAGAAACCCAACATTTGACTTAAACATTTAGTTTAAACACTATTTAGGATTCCTTGCTGTTTCAGTACTCACAAGCGATGATGTTGCCGTAGCGATTCTTGTTGCGGTTTTCATCCTTCTTGGCAGTTTCCCATGGTGCCGTTTGTCCCTCAGCCAGACCCTGGAATCAAATCAAGAATATTTTTTAACATGTTCATCCATTACAGAGACTGCTTTCACACACATGCATACATATATACATACATTTTCTGATAGCTAAAGACATACAACTTTTCACACTTTGAGATGCTTTTCTGAAATAACAGGTCAAGTTAGGTGCCTCTTTTCCCTTGATATCACTGAAAGACTCTGAAATCTCAGACAAGAGCACTGAATGACCACTTAAAGCCGTAGTGTAATCTTCATCCTGCCCACCACACACAAGATGAGCCATTTACTGTGACAGATCTAAAGAAACAATGGTGGTCTGCAAAGTGTTTGCATTAAAGAAAGACTTCATGGACAAAGTGATTCAAAACAAGCATATTTTAAAGATGAATTGGAGGGGTGATGGTGCAATTTAGTGAAGGTCTATCTTTAAAAGACGTCTCTGTGAAAGAACAGCAACAGAAAATCGACTTAAAGACAAGAGTTCATTCACAGACCTCATAATTTGTTTTATTTTTTCCACTCTCAGTAAAAACTGAGGGCCGAATTTAATTCATGTTAGAACATCCAAAATTTCTGAAAATTCATTAGGTTTTCACAATGTACTTTTATTGATATGAGCTTGCACACTGTCAGTCAAATAATTAATTATAAATTCGGTATCAGTTTGTAAAATGAAATGGGTTTAACTAATAGCAAATGACAGGCTACTTCATTCGGTCACCGTTTCATCTACTTTTAACAGTGACAACTGTATCTTTTAAGAAAATATAATGTCAATAACTATATATTCACATAAAGAATTGCATCTATAGTATGAATTGTATTCCATCCATCCAAGTGTTGCTTTTTGGTACTTTATTAATGCAGCAACATACCGGTTAAGTAAGTAAATAAATAAATAATGTGTTTTTAATCTAAAAATACTATCACATAATGAATTGTGATGCTATATTAACAAAAGTAGTACAAAAGAGTTCCATGGCACTACTAAAATGTACTAAATCCAACCAACCAAACAAACAAAACAAAAATAAGAGAAGTTATAAAAATAAAAACTATTATTAAAAAATGTGTTCCATCATGCATTGCTACATAGAGTTTTTTTTAACTGATTGACTGTTCTGGCTGGTTTAAATCGTTCTGCATCCGACGAGGTCATAAAAGTAGAAGAACTGTTTTTCTCTTCCATGTCCGTACGATGGATCCCATCTGGAACTAGTGAGGCATAGAAGCCTGAACACACAGACTGTATCATCTCTACTGTACCGTTCCTTCACATGATCAGGCACCTGTGAAAATCGAAACCTTACAAAGTCTCATTTTTTTTGAATTGCTCTTTCATGTGTGAATTAAACATGATCTGGCAACCCTTCCAATATATCAGTCACATTCATGCAGGGATACTGGTATCTGGCAACTCTGCCCATGCTCTCATTATAATCACGGTACAGTCAGGGTAACGGAGTCAGTTATAGGCAAACTCTGTCTGCCTGACAGAATGTGATGCTAAAACTGTTTGAGGGCTTCTTAATGAGACATTTTGAGACATCCGGAGAGAATCGCTCCAAAATAGATTATAAACAGTTATTTTAAAACTACTCTTTTCACTGCATGTTTGATCAAATAAATGCCACCTTGGTGAGCATAAGAGATTTCTTTCGTAAACATGAAAAAGTCATAGTTATTCCATACTTCTGGCTGGCAGAGTATATACTGTAGCTCAATATCTCATTTTATGGTACTTTTTAATGCTGTAAAGCTTCAGTCCACATTCATTTTAATTGCAAGGACAAGTGCGGCCAGAACATTCTTTAAAAATACATCAAGCTTGTGTTTCACAGAAGAAAGGATTGGTTTGGAATGACATAAGGGTGAGTAAATGATGACAGAATTGTAATTTTTGGAGGGTGAACGATCCCTTTAATGAAAACAAATCACAAAGTGAAGCTGGAACTCATACAAGGCAGCTACTTCAAAGCCACAATTTGTAGGAAATACATTTAGAGGAAAAATAAATGACCTTATCAAAAGTTCATTTCATATCTTCTATTGTTGGCAGCCTCTTTCCTCTAGCGCTATTCAAACAAAATAACAGAGCCACAACGATGCCAATGTGCGCTTTCCCAATCGTAAAACTGTACCCTATTACAGCATCTGTACCTTAAAAACAGAGAAAAACAAGACCACACACACACAAAAATGTGTCTTTAATTTCAAATGACAAGGAAACAATCTAACAGACGCAATTTCAATGTTGGTGACCTTAAGTGAAAAAGAGTTTCTATTAAAGTATTATTAAAGTATTATTAGAACAGATCATGTATGGGGACTGCAGAGATAACTCGAGGTTAGCATACTTTTTTTAAAATCTTGACTTGCTACTGACTCAAAGGTCTTTGCATATACCTACCAATGAAGGTTTAGACAGTGAAAGATAATTGGTTTTATTGTCATGGGGGGTTGATCTTTTGTGGCCCACTGTGTGGGGAGATTTTTCAAGAAGCACTTCTTATCTCACATGACCTTTTCTGAACAAAATGCCTAAAATCTTGACTTGCTACTGACTCAAAGGTCTTTGCATATACCTACCGATGAAGGTTTAGACAGTGAAAGATAATTGGTTTTATTGTCATGGGGGGTTGATCTTTTTTTGTGGCCCACTGTGTGGGGAGATTTTTCAAGAAGCACTTCTTATCTCACATGACCTTTTCTGAACAAAATGCCAGCATGTCATCGTGACACTGACCTGCTTCCTTTAATAAGCACAGAGGCACTTCAATTAGTTATTCAAATGTGTTTAAGAAATAAAACAATATGGAAAAAAGACAGGGCACTAGCAAAAACACTCATTATTGAGTGATTTTCGAAAAAACATGTTTGACATTTTAATAACCCCCTCAATAAAACTATTTTAAGATTCATTCCACATCATTCCTGGGCTTACTGTGCATGCAGAGGCAAAAACTAATTTTATAGCTGCACGGCTGTGGTAATTACTGCAGAGAGGCTTGATCTTACATACTTTTACAAATTTAGTATACTAAAAAATAAGCAAAAGATATTTGAGAGCTACAGCAGAGAGAAAGACTTTCAGCAAAGTCTCCCATAAAGATGGCTTCATTCATTAAACGTAGCAAACAAATCAGCATCAATATTCTTTTATCTACTCTGTAGAGAGAAGAAAGAAAGCCATATTGAAAGTTGAATTTTTCTTGATGTCAATCACTCAAGCTCAAGACTTCTTACCTCGTACTCCTCTTTAAAGCCGTAACCCTGCCCACACTTCATCTGGGTGATGTGTTGGAGCAAGTCTGCCACTCTGATGGCCGGTTGGAACTGGCCAGCCTGGTAGGACATCTCCACCGACTCGCAGCCTCCATATGGGTACGTCTGGATGGTCATCGAGGGCTGGGACATCTCACTGTGGCTGCCATCTGTGAAGGAACAATTCCCAATCCTTAAGTACCCATCACAATGTTCAATTGCCAGCTCGAAGGTTGCTGGTTTGACACCAAACAAAGCAAGCAAGGCACCAACCCTGGACTGCACTTTCCTATATTTATGACAGTAATGGAAAGAAACTCTACCAGTCCTGGTTATTTTATGTTATGAAGCAAAATGTATCACTCTATAGCATAAAGTTACCATTGGACAGCATGTTTAATTTACAGTTTACCTAGAAAAGGCATAATTAATTTCTACAACCTGTTGGATTCACAATCTCCCATGTATGTTATAATCTATCAATGTAAAACCCTCAGGCAAAAATAGAAACACTATAAGATTGTACGCTTTTAATCAATAATTTACAACAGAGGCAGGTTGAACCGCTATAATGAACAGTGCATATCTATTTCCGACCATCTAAAGATTAAATTGGATTCTTCTAAATTTTCCCCACTGCTAGTAATATTATAAACATTTAAATGACAAACCCAGACCCCCCAAAAAATAAAAAATAACTGCTGTATGGCCAAATGAGACGCAAACTACGGTTTCTCGCTAGTAAAGTTTTGATGGATGAAGACTGCAATCAAGTTAAAGACGATTGTGGTGGCGTACCGGAGTCATTCAGTAAGCACGTGTATAGAAAGTATTAAGTATTATTATTTATTACTGTATTAAAAAAATACAGATTTTTGAGAATCACCCTTCAATCTTTTGGTTTACTTTGCTGCATATAGCAAATGATGACAAAATAACCATTTGAAACAAGATAAATGATAAGTGCGCGATTGATCGCGATTAATCACAGAAAAAGGGTGTGATTAATCAGATTAAAAATTGTAATCTATTGACAGCCCTAATATATATATACTGTATATATATATATATATATATATATATATACAGGGTGCGATTTGTGAAAAAAACAGAGGGAGGGATGCTTTTGAAAACTTTTTATAGGCGTATAAAACTCCCAAATACCCGTCTTTTTAGTTATGAAATGTTTTTAATACGACGGAAACTGTATCTAACGTGATCAAATTTTAATAAAAACATTGTAAGTTAGGCCCACCAGAGGGGGGGAAATCCCCCCGTCCACCCAGCAAATCGCACCCTGTATATATACATACACACACACGCACACATACATACATACATACATACATACACAAATATATTCAAGAGATTGGATACAAATATCTATTCATTCCTATCTACAACTGTATATATACAGGAAAAAACATTTTTGGACATTTTAAATGTGTGTACTTAAATTCATATATAATTTTTTGGAGTATGCTAGCATAAAGATGAGATCAAAGCAAACAGACGAGGACTAAAATGCACCTCATTTTGCATTTATGGGAACTAGCCAGTTGCATCACACAGATCCTACATAATCTGTAGAACCATTCAAAAAATGACAAAGAAAACACAAATATTTGCAGTCTAGGATCATGTTGCTCTCAAAAAAGCACAGCTTTGTTTACTGTGCACTAATACCTCTCAATCAAGACCAAACCCCTGAAAGCTCGAGGCTAAGACCTTGACTACTGTGAGATATATCTGAGTGTCATTCAATCACAGCTCAGTGCAGACTTCAGTTACGCATAACAATATACTGAGAAGCAGACAGTCCGTCCTTGCAAACTCTTTTATTAGAATAAGACTGGGAAGTAGTTTATTGATGTTAATGAGCTTATTAAATAGAGGAATGGGGGAAGCAAATGACAGAGAATTTTTAATATGGCCTGCTTTAACCGGCTAAAGCATCATTCAGATGCATAGAGTGATGGAAAATTACTCGACAAATTATTAATGTAGCTATTTGCATCTCAATTGCCACAAAAAAATTAAAATCCACACCAAACATCTATGCTTTCAACACGGCAAAATACAAGTAATTTTGCATGATGTGTTAGCACCCCAGTATTTTTAGTGCCAGAAGGAAAAAGTTGAAAGTATTAGCGGCGACAATGTATTATGAAGAAAACAATTATGCCAGAATCGTAGCCTCAAGAGGATCTTTTTAAAGGACACAAATGTAGCTATTTGCATCTCAATTGCCTTGAAAATTCATTATACACAAAAAAATTAAAATCCACACCAAACATCTATGCTTTCAACACGGCAAAATACAAGTAATTTTGCATGATGTGTTAGCACCCCAGTATTTTTAGTGCCAGAAGGAAAAAGTTGAAAGTATTAGCGGCGACAATGTATTATGAAGAAAACAATTATGCCAGAATCGTAGCCTCAAGAGGATCTTTTTAAAGGACACAAAAAGTAACTAGCAGAGAGATGCTGAGACTGCTCAATGAATCTGAACAGGTTCACGACCAGCACACAAAACATCATTTGGATCTGACTGAACGGTGAGCTTTGATATTTGTTTAGGTATCAAAACCTTGTTGCCTATAGACAGCTACTTAGAAGGCAGCAAACAGTTACGGTTCCCATTGACTTCCATTGTATGGACAAAAGTACAGTGGAGGTCAATGGGAACCTAAACTGTTTGGTTACCAGCATTCTTAAAAATAACTTATTTTACGTTGCACATAAGAAAGTCATACAAGTTTTGAAAGACATGAGTAAATTAGAAGAATTTTCATTTTTGGGTGGACTATTCATTTAAGTTACTTATTTGTAGATATCAATTTCTTTTTTTTTCTTTGTCTTTTTTTAAACCAATATTTACACTTCAAGCCAACAATTCAAGCCAAGAGCCAACGAAAAGCATAAATAAATAAATAAATACATACATTCATTAAAAAAAAAAAAAAAAATCATATTCCCAAAAACTTAACAAATTTAATTCTAAAACAAACTATTGTGCACAAAGTTAAGATATTTGAATATTACAGGTCATGATATTCATATCGGGCTAGGCAAATGTATGGTGGAAAAATATGTTTATGACTTAGACGCCAACATACAAACACTAAAAGAGAAAAACAGAGTGTGCGATAGAGAAGTATACACTAGAGATTCTAAGGTCTCTCAATTTACTGCCCCTCCTTCTGCCTTTCTCCTTCCCTCTATGTATCAATTTTTTATTAATTAATTATTCATGTGTTTTTGTCTCAGCAGTATGGAGCGAATCCCAAAGTGGTGGCCCAGTGGGTGTATTATGTTGTTAAAACGACGCGTCTGCCACATCCAAGCCTGAGAAATATCAAAGAACTCCTGCTTTAGAAACAAAAGGTCAACTGCACATTTTAGGTGACCTCATATGGGAGACAAGTTATATAGGTAGATTATGGATAATCATTTAGGTTTTGTAGTTTTGAATCTTCAGGATGATGAGTTCTGACAGTTATGAGTAGAAAAAAAGGAGTACAGTTCATAAATAACTTATACTGAATCATTATTAGATTTTACTGCGAGGTCCTATGGGATACATTTAGCCCTACAAACACCTTAGGATGATGGGGAACATAAAAAAATGACTGAAAACCCATATGGCAAAACAATATGAATACTGAACAAGATTTTGATATGTCCTTCCTTAAAGGTGAAGTGTGTATTTTATGTACAAAATAGTAAAATAATTACATTTTTAAATTTTCTGAAGAATGTTTATTCAGTAATAATGTTTTACAGTAATAAAAGACAGGAAGATCTTTAATTGTGGAAATGTGATGAAAAAAACCCCTCTGAAGTTTATGCTTTAAATCTGCATATTTATATTTATATTTATACGCAAATGCATGAAAGAATATGGAAGCATAATTTTCCTTTACTTTAATAATTTGTCTGACAATAGTTAGCTAGATGTGATTCATACAGGGCAAAAATATATTGTAAAACAAAAATCTCTACAACGTCTAAATCTTTTTATAATATATTGCACATCTGCACATTCTAATCATATCTTCTAACACAATGTTCTCTCTGCATTCCTCACAGGTGCAAAAATAGGTTTGATATGATAAAGCAACATCAATACTGTTTAAAATGAATGCAAAGAAGAAAAAAAAAAGTGACACTTTGAAACTTGACGGTTCTTCTGCTCGGAAGAACTTGAGGAGAACTGACTTAATTTCCCCCCGTTAAAATATTAAACGGGGGGAAAAAAATATATAAAAAATAAAGAATCATAATTTTGAGAGATGTAAATATACACAGCATGTCCTGCTACAGCGCAACTCCATATTATAGTGCATGTATTGGAGGGAAGTCGTGGCCTAATGGTTAGAGGGTCGGACTCAAAACCCAAAGGTTGTGGGTTCGAGTCTCATACCGGCAGGGATTGTAGGTGGGGGGAGTGAATGTACAGCGCTCTCTCCCACCTTCAATACCACGACTGAGGTGCCCTTGAGCAAGGCACTGAACCCCCAACTGCTCCCCGGGCGCCGCAGCAGTAATCCGGGTGTGTGTTCACGGTGTGTGTGTGTGTGTGTTCACTGCTGTGTGTGTGCACTTTGGATGGGTAAATGCAGAGCACTAATTCCGAGTATGGGTCACCATACTTGGCCACATGTCACGTCACTATATTAGCATTCTATGTCATATATTGAGTGAAAGAGAGAAAGAAAGACATAAGCTATGCCAAGTAACTATACTACTTACAGAAGTCATTTTTGCCATAATGGCTTCTTTCATTTTAGCATGAACTATTTGTGACCATTGCATTATATGCATTCAGATGATTAGAGCTAAAATCAAATTAAAGCTCAATTATGCACAGTTACATTATGATAAACTACTATGGTGCATGCCATTAACAATAATTACCTGACAAGTCACAACAAAGCACAGGTGACTAAATAATGACATTGTAAATTACTTTTAAATGTCATATGTGAATGGGTCTCAAATGGCTATAGGGTTATGGAGGAAAATAAAAGTGATATAAAAACCTCTATGTGTATACTGTATGTATAAAGTGCTGTCAAGGTAAAATAAATTAAAGTTATTAGAATTATTAGCAAAGTATTATAAGTGTTAGCACTGGCATTGTTGCAATATATAAAACATGATCACA